AGCATCTTAAGTATCTCTAGATGTCCGCCTCTAAAAATCACTATTAATAGAGGCAAGATTTCTAAGCGTCCATCTCTAATCAATTAAGAGAGATGGTGGGCATCTTAAGTGGTCTATCTGTAAAAATTGTTACATGAAAAAATAATTCATAACTTTTCCATTCAAAGTTGAATGAAGATGAGTTTTATATTCAAATTGTAGCACTCATCGCGCTCTACAAATTTGTACTTGAGTGGTTTTTGATTTGAAACTGTTTAGGGTCCCAAAATATTGTTTTAAGTTTACAAATTTTGAAATTTAAAATTTAAATTATCAAACAACCTTGGATCTTGACATGACATGCACGAAACTAGTAGTTCTCCATACATTTTACAGATTTGTAGCTGAAAATTTGTTGACTTGAAGTTATTTATAGTCATAAATATATGTTTTAAATTGTTAGATTTTTAAAATAAAAAATTCAGAATTTTCAGAGGGACCTTGAATGCTCGCATGCTTAATAACAAAGTTGTAGCTGACCTAATCTACATGTTGGTTGTTGATAAGTTTTAATTTGAAATTGTTTTGAGTCTCAATAATTGTTTGGAGTTCACATATTTTGAGATTCGGGTTTGGCTCTGCTTCCTAACCTTTGCTGAGGGTCAGCCAGGTGGAGGCCGAGGGTATCCCACACGAGAGGGGATGGGGAATGGGAGCGAAGGTAGCTAGAACAAATGCAATAAACTCAAGAGTAAATGACCATTAATTCATCCTTCATCACTGTGTCGAGGGTATTTATAGGCCACACCAGGGGCAGGACAAAACTAATCCAGGACCAACCGGGGGCTCTCATATATACATGGATACAAGGGCGTCACGGACATTTTGCGCCCCATCCTCAATTACTCACAACAAGTTGTTAGGAACTCTGCCTAGGGGACCTCCTTTTTTCGTCATCTTGAGGTGGCACCGACAGGACGGCCTCCTAGGGTCCCTTTCGCCCGCTGTTTTCGCAGATCGCCTCGGTCCTACAAAATAGGGAGTCAAGGTGCCCCTCGTCGAGGGAGCCAGCAAGGTTGCGTGAGGCCGAAATATCAAAGGCGTCATGATGCTTGTGCTCACCGGAGCGATATATGCTAGCGCTTGAGGTCCTGGCAAGGGTCAGGCGGGGCCGTGAGGGTTCTCATCGGCGAAGTGAAACTCCATGGTCGAAGGTCTCGCAGGGAAGAAGTGGTCGAGGGTCCAGCTATGGCTGGAGCAAAGGCGGGGTGGTGTGTCGAGGGTGTTCCCCCCGACAGATGTAGGCATCTTAGCAAGCTGACAATTAAGATGTTGCAAGTGTTTCTTAATTTTTACTATGTCCGCTGTTCTTTATTGAAAACATGTGGTGCACTGTAAGTTGTAAAAACTTCCTAGTCCAGTTTCTTCAGGAAAGAAAATAAAACTACTCATGTTTGTATGGACATCCTTGGTGATATAGTTACTAATTCCAGAAATCACTTTAGAAAACTCTGTCCTTTCCCCCAGGGCAACTCGGACAGGGATTATCACTACATCTGCCATGTACTCTGCGAACTTACCAGAAAAATGAAGACATAACTGCACCTACAAATAAGCTGGCATAATGAGTTTGCACCGATCGTTTACTAATTTGTCGAATATTATTTTTAGCATTAGTTGAACTTTTCTGAATTATTTGGCTCACGATATACTTACATGTGTTGGAGATTTTTTACCAGAAAATAAAGGTACGCAATTGGAGATATAATGTGGTTACCCCACCAAAAACTGCCTCACTAGGTGGAGAATCCACATTCTAAAAAACCACTACAACCCATTGTAAAAAGCAAATCTGTGTAAAAAAAATAGTCGGTCTTGATATATCCAGCTGTATATCCAACACTTTCTGCCTATAAATTACGAACCACACACGGTTAATCAGTAGGGAACCACTCATAGCTAGGCCGCCTGTTTCCTGTCTTCCACCTCAATCCCTATCGATCATCTGTTCCTAGACTACGATCTCACTAGTTTCACCATGAAGCTTCTTCCTCTGTTTTTCCTTGCAATGGTCATGCTCAGCGCTTGCACTGCGGCGCATCACAAAGCGGAATTAGTTCACCAAATGAAGGCGGGGACAGCAGAGGGGACGTCGGTCGACAATCACCATGCGATACCAAGGCCTGAGTATGATAGCTGGAGCAGCCCTGGAAACATGCCGGGAATTGGCCATGACGTTGGGAGTGAAGAAGCTAAGCCATGAGCAGCCTTGGTTCTATACATGTCTTGTACGTAGCAAAGCTTGCATTCTAGGGTACGTATACATGCACTATATATGTATATATGCTCGTGCCATATCTCTGGACGCTGGTATCACTTCGTTTTGTGCACTTGTGCTGTTTGTGTAACCCTCACGTATGTATAGTTGTATACCAATGTTACTTCCATACTGAATAAAGAAAACAATGTTTTAGTTCGTTCCAGTGATAATTTTTGTCAGGTTCAATTGTGTGTATGCATATTGGTCATGATTCTATATATCATGTGTAGTGCTTCACTAAAAAGAGTAGACAAAACTATTCTTCAGATCTTTGAATACACACACCATACATTGCCAGAGAAGAAATGCATACGGTTTCTTGGTACATTAGATACTACTATACTAGTACACAAGCTGTCTACAAAAACGTCATATATATATATATATATATATATATATTGTTACCTGATATATCTATAAAACAGAATAAACTATGCCCTCATTATGATTTGAATTGTTTACATCGACCGACACTAATGAGTTTCGTTCTTATGCTGACAAACAATAATCTCAGGTTCAATTGAAATCATCAAGTTCAATATCCTTAGATACATTCATTTGATGAATACAAAACATCAATGCTAGTTTACATTAGTTATAACGGTATCTCAGAAGTCATGGCATTTGATTTATATGTTTATTAGCAACTACGAAATCACATCACCATGATTGAATAGAAAAGCTAACGATCAATGCATGGTAGCATGATCTTTTGATTTATGAAGAATATTCATTGCAAATAAGACTTTTGTTACTAATAAATTAAAGTGCCTAAAACAGGTGAGGAAACATCCTTTTATAACAAGCTCGATAAACTAGATATAATTATGTGCAGATCCAGTTGCGCATAGGGCATTATATATATGTTACATTCCTAGAAGAACTTCGTATGCTTGGCTCTTGATAAAGTATGCAGCAGTGTATGCCGTTCGATCTTGGTTAAACTTGAGTACCCCTTTCTTCTTTAAGTTCTTATTTGATCCTTGGAACGCTAAGAAAAGAGACGTCTCTTATAACTAGCACCATCACTCAATGTATGAAAATCACTATACATGCACAAAGTTCATGGAAAAAGCACAAACTGTAGCGAAACATAATTTTAAATGTTCAATGACAAAACCCAGACTATATGCACGAATTAACAGCAATGTAGCCGTTAGCTTTTCTAATAATCCATTCATTTAGATTGACTGCTATCTATGCAAAACATGATTCTAAATGTTCTTTAAATTAGGTAAGTCTTTATTTATCGTTGTTACAATGAATATTATGGTAGGTTTCCCTCAATAATATAGAACAAGATTTGTTTTTCTTATACATCAATATATGCTTCATTGGGAACAGCCAGACATTATACACTGAACGCCTACCTATAAATTATCTTAATCAATAGATTAAAAGTTTGCAAACTGATGGCTGGGCTGCATTGACCTTAGGGAGCCAGCTGCAAATCGCCTTTTACTAGATGGGCAGATCAACCTAGACTATTTGGTGTGCTATTATTATGTAAGGTTTTTGGACCCATAGCTCTATTTTTAGCAGCTAAAATTAGAGCTATATGTGATCCTAAGGCTCTCGGCATTTGTTTGTATAGAATGTGGGAACTATGACCTGACTAAGCATTGCTATTGCTAATCTAAATTAATTGATTCATGTACATCATCATTACTGACTGAATCGAATACATAGCATATTACATTGATCCTTTTATGTACAGAGATACAATCACAAAATTTCTCTTTAATATAAATTTTTGGAAAAAAAACAAAAGATACAGTTTTTTCAGTGACGACTCCTTCCATCTATGGCACTAGAGGGTAATGGCCCATGTAGTAGCTAGTAACATAGATTCAGAAATTAGTTTCCTTCATACAGGATACTTCGCTTAATTGTTTACATGCTCAAACTCAAATGTTAATTAATTGACCACTAGTAGTATATATATAAGCCTACCTTTGGGAAAATTTGACATAAAGTTTCTCGAATACTTATAAGCCAATATGTGTAGCACAGTGAAATGCTACTGCTAATAATGGGTTTAGTGGGCGTAACCAATATTTGCACTTTTACCTGTATGTTAGATCGATTGAGCTTGACATTTGTAGTGGCCATTTTTTATGGTCGGGTTAAAGTTTTGGCAGCGTTACTCCCACCAGTAGATAAAATATCAAGTCACTGCCATGGAAAGCAACAACCACTATCTTAGTGGGAAATACTATTGGTAGTGATATGATTTCTGCCTAATTTACGATTTCCTTGACATCGATTGGCAGTGCGGTTAGCACATCTTTACCAAGAAAAAAGGCATTAGGGCCTATTTTATGTTAATGGCCACAGTAAAAGATAGATTCTAGCTTAGCGTTTGGGTGTCATTTTGCACCGAGGGATTGTACTGGTCCCAAGTCCCAATTGCAAAACAGAGGATAGATTATTACTATCTGTATGACGGTTTCCTTTATACAACGTTACCTTTGATCTCACTATATAAAGCATGCCAGACCAAACCATAGGACTCGAGAAACAGTAGAAGATCTTCTAGGTTGGGTCTGTTAGCGCAACTCTTCCAGGTTTGACTTTCGTACTTACTGTTAATTGTTGCTTACAATCATATGCAGTAGATCTATGAAAATCAGGATTATGATGAGTTTATTTATGGATACTATTTTTGTCCTATATAAGAATTGTCATCATGAAAGAGGAAATGAAAGCCAGGACCATGTTCGCAGCTATCATTCTTGTATTTGCCCTGGTCAGTCATGGTCTGATGAATCCTGCCATGGGGATGCTCGAGAACAAGGGTGCTGCTGCCGGCGGAGAGACCATGTCCGCGAAGCCCACCCTTGGTGCCGGTGGTGGGACCACCGTGGACAACCACCATGCCATCCCGCGAGATCAGTACAGCAGTCATGGAGGAGACGACGGAGGCAGCGGTGGTGATACAAACAACTAGCTGCGCGCGCAGTTCATGTTCGTTCTCTCTGTGCCAGTTTCTACATATGCTTGTGGCAAGCTGTTTGTGTGGGAGCTGAAGGATATATATAATTTTGCCAAAGCGCTACTCTTCGCGGTATATCATGTATTAATGTATGTATATCTGCAAAACCCTAGTCCTGTACAACGACAAAATATATTCTGCTGGCTAAGGATGTTATATTAATGCACTTATTCATCAGGAGGTATATGTACAATATCAATATGTTTGTGTAATAATATCAGAAGATATATGTTTTAACATACTACTCTGATGTCAGTGATGTTCACAAAAAGGAAATAACCTATGTCCAATCGAAGCTCTCAAATTCCTGGTTTGTATCTGATATATACCGCCCAAATGCAAGATAATATAGATATGTCCATAGAAAGGGAAACTATCAACGAGAAGACGGTTGAAAGGAAAACAAGGTGTTGGAGGTGGATAAATCAGCATTATATATTATTTAAGTAGGGACCATGCATAGAGAAAACAGTAGAGATAATAAAAGTAGAATGTCAAACATCACATTTTTTTCTTTTTTAGAAAATAAAAAAATTCCGGCCTCTGCAACATGACATATTTTTCTAGAAAAGCAAACATTGCAAATATACTCCCTTTGGCTTTAAATACAAGCACTTCTAAGAATTTTAGGACAATTTAAGCAGCAAGGGCGGAGTAGCACCCTCATTAAACAGCTTGGGCACCACTAAATTAACTTATGCAAAATGGTTCTCATTTTCTCCCCTCTTTATATATCTGACGCTGGTAGTAGGCACAAATGGGTCTTTTAAGGCGTCCAACTTCGAAAATGGCTATTATTTTAAGAGACATACGCCGACCCGACTCTGCTAATCAATTTATTTCCGACGTGTAACGTCCCGCGTCAAAAAAATCTGCTTCTATGGTCTAGCTCCGCACATAAAATGGGCCTGCATACGTGTAACACATCTCTTACACTTTCGTCCTTACTTCATAGAAATAAAGGGTTAACTTAGAGGTGCTAGGTTTTAATTAACAAGGATTATAAGCTAGCCCTTACCTTCCTAAACTTTTAAGGTGGTACTAAACTCATCAACAACAATGTGCCACATTGATCACATAGGCTAACTTCACAACTACTAAGGCCACTAATGGGCTGAGATGTTACATAAACCCTCCCAGCAGATGTCCAAAACCACCCCTTGCATTGGTATACCCCTCTACAGGCACATGCAGCAAGGGTTGATGCTCTGAATACCATCTGCAACACACCACATCCAAAAACTGCTTATATGGCCCAGCTCCGCACATGGAACGGGCTTGCATAAGCATGGCACATCTCTTATATTTTCGTCCTCGGTTCAGGTAAAAGGGTTAATCCGGAGGTGCTAGGCTTGGAACGACGAGAACTATAAGCTAGCCCTCACCCTCCTAAAGTTCCAAGGTAGTGCTAAATCCAACAACTCATGTGACACATGGGCCAACTTCACAACTACTACACATTAGTATAGAAAAGTTTTTTAGAGGAGGTTAAAATCGGTTTTCAAAGGCGGTTTTAAAATTGCATCTAAAAATCAATTTTCAGAGGCGGTTCTCTTAAGACAACCACAACTATGACTTAAGTCAACCGTTTCTAAAAATAATTTCTAAATAAGAAAAAAAATAGTACAGCTAGAAGCCCAGAGGATCAACCAGCCACTCGCTCCGTGCACTTTGTCTCGTACCACTACACCTCACAGTCATTTATGACTGGTTCCACGATGCTATCTATCTATACTAATATGCATGAATCTTGTAATTAATATTTTAACTTATAAATAGTTTTAAATGAGAGAACTTTCAACTACAAAGTTTTCGATCTCGTCGAAGCACTACAACTTTCATATAGGATATTTCTCTATCCAGGGTCATTTGAAAAAATTCAAAAATTTGAAATTCAAAATCTAATACTTAATTTATATATTTTGAACCCTAAATGATCTCAAACAAATTTTTTATCAACTACAAAGTTTTAGATCTCCTCGAGCTCTACAATTTTGATATAAATTTTGTCTTTGTCCCACTTCACATAAAAAAGATATGAATTTATTTGTGCTGCAGCTATTTTCCTTGAAAATCGATTTTCAGAGGCGGTTGACTTAACAAAATTGCCTCTAAAAATCACTCATTTTCAGAGACGGTTGACATAAGCAGTCGTCCTTGAAAATAGTTTTTTTAGAGGTGGTTCTCTTAACGGACCTGTCTCTAGAGCTGGATTTCTTAACGGAACCGTCCCTGAATATGGATCTTCAGCGACGGTCATGGAACAACAGTGCTCCCCGGCGATGTTAGAGGTTGCGCGCTAGTTTAACCGCCAATGATAGAAAAGAGAGGCGTCCCTAAAAATGTTTTATGCCATGCGCCTCATATGGAGCCCAGCGGGCCAAGTGAGGCTCAGCCCAAGGCGATGGCGGGCCTGTGGTGCCTCTTGTGCATGGCCAGAGGAGGGGGCAGCTATCACACCCAATTTTAAGGATAAAATTGAATGCACTAAACTCATGTGTGCCCAGGGATCAGTCACACACATAAGTTGACAAATTATAAAAAGTATCATCACGGTGTATTTTACATAACGAATAATAGCATCACATTGTCTTACATAACACAGCGGAAGATAAAAAGATAACTCTCTCGTGGAACTCCATCACAGGGACGGTCGACTGGTTGACCACAAGCCTAATAATCCTCAGGAAAACTCCTCATATCCGTTGTCATCTGTTACCCATCCGGGATTTTTATCCAAATATAGAAAGTAAACAAGCGTAAGTACGTCCCGTACTCAACAAGATAACATGGGGTTATGAAGCTCAAAAAGGTTGACACTGGTTTACTGCAGTTAGCACTTTTAGTAAGTCAAGATTTTATCCTCAACTATTATCAAGTTATGCTTAAGCTCCCATTTAAACCCACGTGATCATATATCCGATCCAATTGAGTCATGTGACATCATCATAATCATCTCGTATAAACAACATTATAAGTAGCCATCTATTCCGTGAGTTTTCCGGGCCGCTCGTGACCGTGAGTACGGCTGTTATAACAGTTTGTTACCCTCTATAGAGGTGGTGCACATTCACCGCGAGTCGTGATCCCCATATGCCCGGGTTAATTACTCCCATATCACTGCCAAGGTGAGCGGGCAGGGTACACTATGAAGCCATTTCATAGGTTTCTCTAACAAGTTAGGGCTGCTAGGTTTCCTTGGCAGGCAGATGTAGGAACCCCCCTTTCCTATGGCACATATCCATCGCGGCTATACACATAGGAACAGAGGCAGCCCTATACCCAACGTGGCAAGCCCCATTTGCGCCAAAAAGGTAACCTCTAACTAGCTAGAAAAGGTCCTATTACTGAGCTAAAGTCAGAGCCATATGACTCTCACGGTTGCACTGTCAGTCCCAGCTTTTGCCGACAGATAAGTCCTTATGGAGGGCCGAGAGCAATATGATCAAAAGTCATTTGCACCATCGCCCTATGGATCAGTTGTTATAAAGCATGTTTTACCTTTAGTTCCATAGAACCATTCACCATCAAATAGATCATGTTCAGTTAGAGCCCTAGCAATCTACCCATATGCAATTAACCCATAGGAGACAAGGAACAGGATAATCAATCACTAGGATGTCCTTACGGGTATCAAAATTAGACACATGCAAATGAATAATTAATAAATGGTGAATAGGCATCAAGGTAGGTCCCATGCTATACTTGCCTTGGTTCACAAACTCTTGCTGGTCCTGCTGGTCGTCGAAGAATTCTTGGTCTCCAACGTTCTCCTCACCGTCTGAATGCGACCAACACGGCAACATACAACATTCCAAAGGCATTCATACAAAGCAAACAATCATACAGTTAGAACAGTACCCAACAGTGTAGAAAACAAGATAAAATGTTTATGAAAAGAATCTACGTCTCGCTACGATCACGTCAACGCGAAGTTCACAAAATTCGGAGCTAAAACGCGAAAGTTATGAATTAAACGGCATTTCCTATAGTACTTTATTTAATTAAACCTAACCATGAAATTTAAAAGTTGCAAAATTGAGTAACAGTGGTACTAACATGTAGATTATGAAATTACGAAGCTAACGCAATTCAAACGGATCAATTCGGAGCTAAAATGAAGTTTTTATGAGCAAAACAAATTGAATGGCATTTCTGTAAATACTGAAAACGTATTTTGAACAAGAATAGTGCACTTTACGTTTTCAAAACGAGAAAGCGTAATCAGGGAAATGCGCTAGGGACTGCGGGTTCTATTTGCTGAAAACCGAGGGGCTCTTAAGCATAATCACCCGCGAAGGGGTATCTTCTAACGTGAGCCATCGGCTTAGAAATGAACGGCCAGAAATCGATCCGGGGAGAGAGAAGAAAGGGTGGCCGGCTGGAATAGTGACGCCGACGGCAACTCCATGGCCGGCGGCGTGGAGATCACTGGCGCGTGCGGTTAGGGGCCTACGGGCCACGGTTCTAAGAACTGAGAGCACCGGGAAGTAGCGGGGGTTCTTGCGAACACTTCTAGGCCGAGAAGACGGCCGGAGGGGAAGGTTGAATCAGCGGACGCCATGGCCGACGGCGAAAGCTTCTCGGGCGCACGCAAAACGGCCACAAGAAGCCACCAAACACCAAAGAAGAAGGTCAGGGAGAGAGAGGAGAGCATGGGGAGGCTCACAGCGGGGAACTCAGGGTCGGAGACGGCTCGGGGAAGACGGGCGACTCGGACGGCGGTCGGCGGAGCTCCTCCGTGCGGCGGTTGCGGCCTCCGAGGCGTGAGCACAAGCAAAAAATAGAGCGAGGAGCGGCAGCAGGGGGGCGGCTCGGGCGTGGCTCCATTTTAAAGAGGCCAGGAGCGGGAGGACGCGCCCACGATGCGAGAAGAGCGGGTGCGGGGCGGCGGTTGCTCCAGGCGCGCGTGCGGGCTATTGCGGGACGTGTGGGAGGAGGTGGGGGGAGGAGCT